CCCTATGCCCTGTAAACTTTCACAGGTGACTGACTTGATCCAGATGAATGGTATCTGGCTGCTCTTCCTACTGGGTCGCTGGGCCATGGTTCTTGGCTGGGTGGACCTCTTCACCTCTTGCCTAGGCAGAAACAAAAAGGAATTCGTATCGGTGGATGCCAGATACGATGTCAAGAAAGACACACGTGCGTACGAGATGCTGTCTAGAGACTCGAGCGCTGTTGTAACACCAATCTCTCCAGTCAAATCCCCCATCGTAAGTCCCAACAGCGAACGACGAAGAACGCCGGATTACTTTGGGCAGACCGCTCGCTATCAGCCGCCGATGCGGTCGTTTTCGAGTCCTCGACCGCCGCAAACACCTCCCACCTGGGATGCGCGAGCGACTTACGCTCGGCCCGAGTCACGATCCCGAGGGATGGCTTCGATGACATGAACCCACTTGGGATGAACCGCATATAATGAGACGACGCGGCTGGTCATGACGGAACGAGAAGAAAAAAAGAATAACATGAAGAGAAAAATGCGTCTGAAATCGGACGAAACTATATATCAAGCGCCTACATTAAGCGCGCGCAACAATACCCGACAGCTTAAAAGGAGTGGCACCATTCGGCCGAAGTTGGATTTTGCCCGCGCTGATCCGCGCTGACGGTGAACATTGACCAGTGTTGAGAACTTGAGAAAGATGATGTAATGTGGAGGAACCACCGGCCTCGTCGGCCATGTCAATATGTCAGAAAAAATCAATGTAATATCAGCGTCGGCGTCTCGGTCTCGTTTATGCCGCGAAGGAATGCGAAGAGAAGGTTGCCCCCACAATTTAAAGACGCGAAAGAAAGGATTGTGGGAAGGTCGGCGGCGGGTGCCTCTCTCTTATTGATGGATGGGCCATGGGCCTCGGCGCTTCAGCATCGGGGCGGGAGAGGGAACGGGATCGGCGGAACGAATCACGATTGACGGACATGTAGGAGCAGTTGAGAGTCCGAAAAATAGAAGAATCACGCGACAGCTTAATGCGAGATGGCCTTATCAAGTACCGGATTGTGCATGTCCTAACTTCTGAGTTCCTCAACGGTCCAATGGGTGGAAACGTAAGGAAACTACCGGACAAGGATGGTGGTGTTGTGGGTGGGATTATGGGATAAGCCCGCCCGGAAGATGCGGAATGGTCGGGGTTTTCACGAGTGATGCGAGGAGCAGTAGCGGAGGGGGGCCAAACAAGTCTCAGGAATCGCATTGGAGCGAGCCATTGATCAAGTGCCATGTCATCCAATTCCATTGCATCCCAATGACTTCCGCTCCGGCTTCTTCGGAGGGACCCAGGTCTTGACTCTTGCTAGGCTTATGTGATGTAAGCGGGAAGTGCAGATTGATTGTTCGGGCGGTGGACGGACTTTTTCACTCATCTGCCCATTCTTTTGATTATAAGTAGATTGGGCTTCCAAAAGGGAAGGGATTTTTCATGGACGAGTGCAGCACCTGTTCTTACACTTTGTGTCAAATCTTCTCCGCATCTCTACTGAGAGACCTTGACCGAAACGTGTGCATGACTTCTGAGGACGAGGCATCAACAACGACGAACTGTTGATCATAGCTTACACCACAAGGACAGCCACATCAAGTTATCGTTTCAGATATTGAACCGACTGGGGTTTTGAATTCACTTGATCCAAGCCATCACGAAATACGAAACAAAAGAAAAACGTTTATTCCAGCATCAGAATTGTCGACGATTGACGATTGTACACGGTACTGAGGTTATGGCCTGAAAGTTGGGCGGAATCGAATAACATACGGAAAGCGAAAACCACGGAAGGCAGCGGAACCTGGCCGAGAAGCAAAACGAAAAGGGAAGGGAAATCAAACAGAAAGTGAACAAAAACCTATCAATACCGCCAAGACGGAAACGGCCTGACGTCTATAAGGGCTGTGCGCGTATTCGGTGTGAGCAATTCACCGGACGACATCAAAACGAGACGAAGAGGGGAGGTCACGAAGAAACGAAAGGAGCGGTCCGAACATCGAAGCATTGCGTTCCCGAGCACGTGGCCGGACATTCTTATATCTTACTTGAGCTAAAGTCTCTCAAGGATATCAAAAGGCAGAAACACCTCGTTGTAGAGGGAAAGGGAAAGCGAAAGCAAAAGCAAAAGCAGTAACAGAAAACGCACAGGTTTAAGGTGTGTGAGGTCATCTTGCCCGTTTGTTAGGTTATCGGCATCGTCGGGACAAGCTCTGCAGTCTGCACCCCCCGTCCGTCGTCCGTCGGATTTGAGGCTTTGTCCTTGCAGCAGGGCTGGCGCTGGAAAGGGACTAGTGTAGTCGACCCGGCTTGACACCACCACCTCCCGCACAGAGCCCACCGCTTCCCGATCCCGCCAAGGGGAGCCTCTCCGAGGACTCACCTCAGCCCTCAAGGTGGTAACACCGGACCCCACTGATTGGACCACAAGTTCCATGACCCCAGGCTTATCGCTTATCTTATCGGAACATTAGTGATGCCGTTTTCCGAGATCTTCAAGCTGAACCCCGGCACGCCGGCCAGGGTTTGGCGCTGGAGCGCGGGACGTCCCCAACCTGGGACGCCGATTGATGACATCGAGCAACCGAGCACTCCGCCAGCTAGAGGTGGTGTCTACCTCCCGAGCATAGACAATTCTGCGACAACTGAAGATCATGGAGCCTCCTCCACCGGCCTCTTTTTCCGCAAGATCTCAACCTCACCCCAGCCCTCTTCACCAACAACAACAACAAATTCGAGATTAAGAAGGAGAACCTGCCACATCGGCTTCGTCAGATTCTCTTCCTTTAGAATGTTCCTCATCCTCTCCCTCGTCTTCCTCGGCGGCTACGTCCACTACCTGTGGAAAGCAGAGGCCGCTCTCGGTGTCCCCTGGGTGCCCGACCCGGAGGCCCAGCTGTTCCAGCAGCGGCCCCTCTTACCTCCGGCCCAGCAGACCAGCATTGACACGTACTCGCTGCCGCTGCACACAAAGGGCCGAGACATTGTCGACGAGGAGGGTCGTCGCTTCAAGCTCCTGTCCGTCAATTGGTACGGCGCCAGCGACGAGCTCAACATCCCCGGCGGACTCGACGTCCAGCACCGCGACGTCATTGCGCAAACCATTCGCGGGCTGGGCTTCAACAGCGTCCGCCTGCCCTACAGCGACGAGATGGTCATCACCGACCCCCCAATCCCGGCCGAGCTGGTCGCTGCCAACCCGGACCTGATTGGTCTCAAGGCCCTCGACATCTTCGAGGCCTGCGTTACAGCGCTGACGGACGCGGGCATCGCCGTCATCGTCAACAACCACATCACGCACTCGACCTGGTGCTGCGGCGCCGACCCCTGCGACGCCCACTGGGCCAACGACCACCTCGGCCCGCTGTGCCGCATCAAGCAGACCGAGGAGGACTGGATCCAGCACTGGGAGAAGATCATGCTCCGCCTCGTCGACAACCCGGGCGTCATCGGCGTCGACCTGCGGAACGAGGTGCGCGGCGTGTGGGGCACAATGACCTGGGACAAGTGGGCCACGGCGGCCGAGAAGGCCGGCAACAGGCTGCTGGAGATGAACAAGGACTGGCTCGTCATCGTCGGCGGCACGGAGTCTGGCAACGACCTCACCGGCGTCGCGAAGCGGCCCGTCGTGCTCGACGTGCCCGACCGCGTCGTTTACTCGGCCCATGTGTACGCCTGGTCTGGCTGGGGCAGCCTCGAGGGCCGGTACTCGAAGCGGGCGTACGCCTCCTTTGTGAAGGCCATGCGGCACAACTGGGCCTACCTCGTCGAGGGCGACGTCGCGCCCGTGTGGGTGGGCGAGTTTGGCGCGCCGCACCAGCCCAGCATCGGCGATGCGAATTACTGGAATAACTTGCTGCGCTACCTCAAGGTCATTGACGCCGATTTCGGGTACTGGGCCGTCAACCCGCGCAAGCCAAAGGATAACGTCAAGGAGACGTATGCGCTCGTCGAGGACGACTGGGTCACGCCCGTGCTGGATTACCGGATGAAGGACATGGTTGAGATTATGAGGGCGTAGTGCGCTCCGCAGTTTTGGCTGGGTGAAGAGGTGTGCCTGCTAGAGTCGCGAATTGAGGAGCTCTTGGCGACAATGTGTATTTGATGACACGAAAGATGGAAAAATGTTTCTTTTTTTCTATTACTCTCCCCTAATGGCGTTTCACGGAATGGTTCTTACTATAGGCACTTTGGTTTATTCCCTGGGAGTGCCAGCTTCGGATACCCGGCTTTGGTCAGGCACGAGCTAGACGGTCACTGACGGTTATGTCATAAAAACTGGCGAATATAGCCATACGTTGGGATTAGGATGACAGTTTTGATACAAGCAATTGGATTCATGAATAGCTACGCAGTCAATGAATGAGGAGTCCCTTGGATGAGTTCTCGGTCCCTTTCTCGTCCTGTGTGGGGCATTCGCCGTAGATGATACGAGGCATTGTTGCTATGAACTGGCATGTCTGCGCTGATCATGTTAGTCCACGTGGTTTAGTCTCCGATGGCCATGATGATGAGAACATGGGTCGGATGGCACGTCCGTGGCCTTGATGCTTTATCCGTCTTTTTGCCTGGAGATACGACCATCGTCCGTGACCAGAGAACATTCATCGACACTACTCTATGAGCCCTGGTGATAGAAGCTTGCGGATAGGTACCTTACATTTGTTCTGGTAGCTGGAATGTTTCCTCCCCGCAAAACGTGCTCGCTGAAACAATCGACCCCTCCTCTCCAGACAAGCAATCCAGCAAGGTGATCCCAGCACCACCTCATTCCCTCAGTGAAAGCTTCCGTTATCGATAAAGCAATGGAATGGGAGATGCAGGTGCCACCAAACCTCCGGCTCCCGTCATCAGGCCATCACCTTATCGATAACCGCAAATTAAAGTGGAACCACACCCCTCAGTGGGTGTGCCGCCGCGCGCGTGAGTTGGAGCCCGTGGGAGGTCCCGGAGGGCGGTGGTGTGGGTGGGTTGACGACAAACGGCCAGAGGGAAGCTGCGGATGAGCTGCGGCGGGGGGAATGAGGAGAGGGCCATTCTCCAGACCTCACCTTCCACCCAACCTTCCTTCTTCGCGCAGCAAAACACACTTTTTCGATCGTCGCAAAAAGGCAGTGTATTTTCTTCTTTTTTTTTCCGTCGGAAATAGGCAAAGCCTCGAAGATTCTATACATTGACAAATCGACACACAAAGGGGAGGGCGGCTCGTATGTTGCGCGCGAGGCGAAAGGGAGAGAAAGACTCCAAGGTGCGGTAGATGGCGGGCCAACAGGGTCAGTATCATGATCGCGGCTTCCGCGAGGCTGTGTTGGGGAGGTGTCAGGTCCAGAACTGTGTCGATCGGGTACGTACGACGCAACTTCGCTTCCTTTGCAACTCTGCTTTTGTTTCTTTGGGGCAACGCGAGAGGCCTTTGTAGCTTCTCTAGTATCGACTTGCATGCTGACTCTACTTTCTTAGTTTGGCGACGGAGCTATCGAAGTAATCCGGCAACGCGAGCGCGACCACGTCAACGGCATCGAGAATGACACCCTTGTGCAGGGCGTCCCGTCTGACCAGATTGTAACGGGTGTCGAGGATGAGGATGCGGGCAGCTCACAACCAATGTCCTTGGAGAGGAAGATACCGAAGACGCCGTACTTTAGGAACAACCTGACAGCTCTATCGCAGAGATACAATGTTGGCCCTCTCCTTCCCGCTTCGTCGGATGCCGTAAGGAACGTCCATTTTGCTAACGGACCCCCTTTTTTCCCAGCTTTACTTCGCTGCGTATGAAAACCGAATCTTCGTCTATCGCCCCAAGGGCATCCCGAAACAGGCACTACCTCGAGAGCCGAACCTCATTTTAGCCACGAAGCCTGACAAGATCGCGCGACATATTGGAGGCACGCTGAATTTACGCTTCCCCCATCAGATCAACCACATCGCTGTCGGGTTTCTCGGGAGAGAGGAAATCCTCGTTTCGGTCTACGACGATGGGTCGGTTTTCGCGTACTACATCCGGAAGATTGCAAGGTTCATTGAGCGCGTAGCGTCTGGTTGTCGAGAACCAAATCCGTTGCCGACGTACTTCCTCCGCGAGAACGTGGGTATTTCGGCATGGGGCATCGCGATTCATCAAAAGTCGCGGCTCATCGCCATTAGCTCCAACAAGCGGGAAGTGACCGTGTTCGCCTTTGGGCTCTCCCGCTTGCCCGAGGATATGGACTGCCATGCGAGACATTTGGATCACTGCGAAAGATCAGTTCTCAAGAGGAAACGAAATTGGAGGATTTGCATACCCCTGGGTGAAGGGGGTCACAACATCCCCAATCTCTCTCTCTGGGATGACCATCAGGGCTACGCTGAGAAGGTTGTTGCGAATGATATCTACGGAACGACCTGGATCTTGGACATTTGGAAGGCCGGAACGGCGCCGTTCAAGATATCGCACAGAGCTAACGTCCAGGGGCAATGGGCTTTCCGTAATCCAATGTAGGCCTTTGTCGGACACTTTCATGTCACTCACGTTTGCTAATCCAATTTCAGGGGCTGGGGCGTCATTGTCCTTCCGTACGAGAGTTTTTTGCCTGCACGATCAGTGACAGACCTTCTGGGCATGGAGGAGTCAGACATCATGAACGCAAAAAACTCCCACGCTGGGCGATGGATCGAAACCCAACGGGGCCTCCCTCGCATTCGCGATCATCCTGCGGAGCCGATTGCTCAACGCATGCCTGAACCGGAAGCGTTTGGTCATCACCACGGAGCGGCATGGTTCCAGCATCAACAGCCAGGTTTCCTAGCTGCAATACTGAATAATCAGCAGTTTCTCGGACTTCCGGCGCCTCCACCGCCGCCGCCCCCTCCCCCTCCTCCGGCACCAGACGACAATGCCAATAATGCAGACGGTGGTATTGTGCCTCCTGCGAATGCCATCGCGCCTCCAGGCGCCCCAGCGACACAGAATGCGGTTCTGTTCACCCCGGATCATGAAGACGATGACGAAGACGGATGGAGCGAAGAGGAAGAAGAAATTCCGGTCGCAGCATGGGACGATATGTCTTCTGCTTTTGATAGTGAAGACGATGAAGTGGGTGGGCCCAACGGGCAGGATGCGAACGAGATTGTCTTCATCGAGGAGGCGCTTTCTGCAACGGAAGAGAATGTTGGGTCTGGTGAGGGCATGACGCAGATTGCGCCGCCTGAGATGCTTTCAAGCTTCTTCAAAAACACGCCGAACTACGATATGAGCGAATTCCAGTCTTCCTGGTTGGACATGGTCTATACGCCCCACGATGGCAAAACGTACGTAGCCCCGACGACTGTCATTGGACGCCTCCAGTATCTTCGTCGACCCCTGGTAAAGAACCGAAACACAAAGGAGCAGGACAGGAACGCCCTCGAAGAATTGGGCAGCCGGTGCTGCATCTTGCGGACTTACGAAGAGGACATTGAGATGCGCAGCATCAACCCGGATGACGGCGCGGCGGTCTTCTGCAAGGACCCGATCAGCTGGATGTACCCCCCTCACCCCTTACTGCAGCATTCCGAGCGGCTCAACATGATTCTTCACATCCCGGAGCTGTCGCTGGTGGTGATCGGATCCGCCATGGGCCGGGCGATATTGCTGACCCCGACGCGCTCGCGCTACCATATCCAGGGGAACGGGTATGAGCTGAAGCAAGGGTTCCGGATTGACCGGGTTCTGCCGACGCTTTCGGACGAAAAGGCAGGACGCCGGCCGCCTCGGGGGCTCTATGGCATCGCTGCTGGTCCGGTTCAGGAGGGCGGCGCGAGGGGGTGTTTACTGCGCGCCGATGATGCAGCTATGCCGTCGCCTGCGTCGAGACGTTACAGGCTTATGCTCCATTATCGGGATCATAGTATTTTGAGTTACGAGATTAGTCGGGATGATAAGAATGAGCACGTTCTCATCTTTTGAGAAGTCGTTATTTTTCGCTTCTCAGGTGGCGGGGAGGACGGTCAAGGGCATTCATTCATCAAATACGCTGCAGGCCTTGAGAGTTATGCATTTTCTCTACGGACATGATGATGGCGTTTTCTTGAGGCATTTCAAAGTTTTCTCCTTTTCTCCTGATACCCGGCCGAGTGAACTCCCCTCTCTCTTCATGGCTTTCCCTCACGGAAGAGGGGAAACTCTTAGCAAAAAGACAGCTAGGCTTTTTGAAGAATACGACGAATATTAACAGTTGAAACGTATGTAATGATTTCATACTCACTGGCGACCGATCTTCTCATTTATAGTGGCCGGTAGGGAGAAGGGATTAAAGAGTACTACCGGGGGTGAGGACCGCACTGCTGAGGTTTTAGAGGGGTATGGAGGTTATCTTGCTAGGTCTCTCTCACGCATTCTCTTTCCAAGTGCAATGTGATATCCTTACTTGATCATAGCTCAAACGATACCCAAACTTTGTCGTATGTATCCTGAGCTGTAGTCATGGCGAAGGTCACTGATGCTTGAGATGAGATCATCTGTGGATGATGTACCTGTCGACCAAGGTGAAGGTCTACCTCTCTTTCGTCCTAGGTTCTTACTTTTCATGTTCCTTGTAGCGGAAGCTTGTTCGAGGTTATCGTATTCTTTTCTCCTGAGGATTTCGTCTTCGTTTGTAAAGTATGGTGTGTAAACGGTCTTGCCGGCTTGGAGTAAGCTAAATGTAAACGGGACCGGGAGCTAGGTTGGAAGGTGGTGACGGCTGGTGTACTTCATCAAGGAGAAGATGAAGTTCGCATCGTTTGGTGAAGCTCACGGGATGTGGATGAGTATACAAATCTGCTTTGCCGTCTCTGTGCTGCCGCGAAAGGACGGCTCTCGGGAGTAAGATTTGATGGGGGACTTATTGGACTTCCCCTCTGGCGTGGAGACTTTAGTTGGGAACTATGAGTAGCGCGTTATGTGTGATAGAATACTAGGCGGTATGTGTGATATGATAGAATATTAGGCGGCGGTTGATGCGTTATGACACAAGGGGGTACGGGTTCGAAGAGCTCTGCATTCGTGAGCTCGTTTAATTGAAGAACGGTTCTTCTGAAATCCAGGATATCATATCCATCGAGGCCCGGGTCACCTGTTCCTCGCCGTAAGTATATGTGAATCAATGCTCGGACAAGGATCATATCTTCTAAGTCAACACGTAAAAAGCTCTTCTTCCTGAGGGTGAGTAGAAGTAACACCAGGCAATGTATTTCCCATTCGAGGTGGTTAGCAGATGATATTCTGAGCAGGCCGTTTCGCGTATCAGTGGACCAACCTGCAACCACGATAAAGCAGATATGTGCGGTCAGGGAACAATCAACCATATACGCATCATATGTCAGAGCCAGGAAAGAAAGTCGCCCCGTAGTCTGACATCGCTGCTGACATTGACTGTATTCAAGTTTGTATACGCGGCGTATGCTCGATAGTTAAAGCTGACATTTGTCCATTGGTCAAGGTACTGTCTTGTAAATAGAAGCCACATGTTCCGTATAAAAGCAGAATGCATAACTCGGCACGATTGAGATGTAAGAGACAAACCGAGCAGATCTACACGATCTTGCTGTTCGTCTAACTCGGCTCATCCCCGTAGTCCACTGACAGATTCATACCGGTCTTTTTGAAGACTCTGGCCATTTCCAAACAAGTACCTTACCTAGGCAAGAGCCCCAACAGGTCTAAATATAGCACGCACTTCATCCAGGCACTGTTTCTCTAGCGCCGGGAATGGCATAACGCGTCTCTGCGGCTCTCGCATCAACATCAACTTGCCCCAGCCTGTATGAATGCACTCACTCAGCCAGCACAGAGCGTGGCCACAGCAAATGCGGAGAAAGTATGGTTGAGAGGCGTGTCAATCAGATACAACGTTGAAGTCGCAGGAAATACCTGGAAACGTTCGTGTACGATGAGATCGTAGAAACGTCGAGCGATGGTCAGATATGCCATAAGGTGTATCGAAGTAGTTCAGGGTGAAATCGACTTACCCTTGCACACCACTTTAGAAGTTCTAGCAGATGACATGTCCCAAGACAGCCATCGATGGCTTTGGTACGAGTCCTTTCCGTTGTCATTCTAAAGGGATTAGTGACCGTAGAGCTTCCGGAGAGATATCGAGGATTCCAAAGTAGACCTAGTTTATCTGACACAAAACGCTCCCACACAGATAGCTAACTCCTGGCTAGTATTCAGCATGCAAGACTTTGATCAAGACTTTGAGGTGCCAAAGGCATGTCATGATACAGATGTAATGCAGAGGAAAAGACCATCATTCGGCCCGGTCCCTTGAAGGAATCTCCCTGTCGCATCATCAGACATCCCAGAGGCCTCGTGACGAATCACGGCTTGCAGTCTTGGCATATCCTTTTGTAACCATAGACCCGTGCTAGTCATCAAACGGTGAGTCATCTAGATCAATGTGTTCTTCTGACAAGCTGGATCTCGTCCAGAGAGTGGCTGACCAAAGCTTGAACGTAGCTGTTACCCCCTTAGACAGCCCGCAGCATACAGTGTGAATGATCGCGGAGTACCCTCGAGCGTATGCGCTCAGAAGGTTGCACCGCGTAACTTGCTGCATCACCCGGAATGCTCTTGTCCATAGTATCCTGATCGGTAGACTTGACCAAGATATCTAGAGCATTCATAAAGACCGAGTACACTAGGTTAACACCTAATATCATAAAAGCAGGACCATTGATAAAGAGGGAAAACTTTGTAGTATCTGCACTCTCCGCCAGAAATTTTCCAGAGCGCAGACTCCTGATGACATACAAGCCATGCGCGATGCCAATCTGAGCCGATAGCTGCCCCAAACATAGATAGGCTATCACGGATTCTTAATCTTTGCCGAGTCCGCCTGGGCGTTTGGCCAGGAGACATGGAAGTCAAACCGTGGACTTACACGCGCCATCGCTGTAACATCTTCGTTCGGAAAACTCTCCATGCTGTGGAGCAGGTCTGATGTAGCACTCACGCCCTGCGTCTAAAGTGGTCAAGATGCAGGACGATGTCGAGTTGATCATGAGCAAGGAGCCGAACTGATTGCTTGCACTCTTGTACGCGTGCAATGCCATCAGCCGGTGGATTGAAGCTTCTCCTGATTGCACCAAAAAAAAGCGTCTCATCTAGGTCTCCGTACTCCCATAATACGGTGGAAGTCTCGTCACTTTCCAGACCGATTCAACTCCACACGACTCATACAAAACCACGGAGTCACCTCAGAAAAAGACCCATCTTAACCGAGCCATCAAAATGCAACACAGGTTCGACTTACCTGAACCTCATATCCGTAGAATCCTTCTAGAAGGAGACCACAATAGGGGATGGCCGAGAAAGAATGAAAGCCCACGGCCTTCGGCCGGCCCGAGCGGGTCCACTTTGACTACCGGAAAGGAGCGAACGCCTCCGAAGTGGATCCCTATCCCGCTAGTGGAGAAGGAAAATGACATTTTGCTCTGACAAAACGACCGGGGTCCCGATTGGCTCATCTGGGCGCTGATAAGGCTAAGGTTTAGCGCAGGTCGACTGGCGCCGGGAACAGGGAATCTCTTCTCTTGGATGACCGGCGTCGCTAGGATGAGAGGGAGAGGCACACGCACACCACATATTGGACGTCATCTTTTTTTTTATTTTTATTTTTTTTATCATCGGTTGCCCCCCAACTTCTGGGTCGTGATGCCCACATGTCGGGTGGTTTCAAGTAGGCGGACGTCGTCCTGAACTGGGCAATAGTTGGGTTCTTCTCGAACACGATCACCGCCGCGCACTTAGTACAGAGGCCCCCGTCTCAGGAGGTCGGGGCCGGCAGTCAGTAGCAGAAGATTTTGGGGACCAAAGCTGGGGTGCAGCAGTAAGGTATCGGAGGGGAATAGCGCGCGATAGGGCATGATGCTCCAACGCGATGACATATGCTCATGCAGCGATTTGATGCAGATAATCGCGAAGCGTTCGACTGGTCGCGCGGGAGCTTATCAGGTTCGATGGGTGAGGCGGACGTCACCAATATGCGAAATCTCCAGTCTACCTAGCTCATCGCATGTTTTAATGCGCAACGTGTCTGGAGAATGTCATTGTTTGAGGCGCTTATCCGGTGCAATGAGCGTCTTTCTGATGGTCATGTCAGTAGCTTGATTTGGAGGCACGCCTCTGCTGATCTCGAACACCTCCCAGGTTTTCCCACCTCTAACGGATACAGGCGTGGCGACCGAAGAGCTTAGTGGGCCGTGGCCATCGTTTCGGTAAGTGTTGGAATCGATCTCAGCCCATGATGCTACTCGTCCCAAACGTAAGGATCACAACGGCAGTTCAAAGCCAGTGACTGTAGCATGAGTGCCGGAAGACAGTACATCCCGCGCTTGAACTTCCAAGACTCGATAGTCGTCGTCCAAAGATTGGAGACTTAAAGGGCGTCAATAATGTTAGGGATTGGTCGAATAGATTCAAAAGCAAACGTATCCGCGCCTGGTAGAGATGCAGCCAAACAGATAGCGTTGATTCGAGCTTCCGGAGCGCCCCAGCCTGGGATCTACCACGGTGGAGGAAGCCAAGTTTGAAGGACCCTCTGCGTTCTCCGGTTCCCTTGGGTGCTGGAGTCTGGATGCGATGCCCCTCGCGAACTTGGCCCTCAAGTGTTAGCAAGCGGTTGCCAGGCTGAAGACTAATGGATTTCAACCCCCACAACGAGAGGCGCGTCTCCGAACGTGCGATGGGTCCAGCAAGCCGATTTCTTCCTTAACATGTGCCGAAAACGGAGCTGCATGAACCAGAACCCTCAACGGGCACGGGTGAAGAACTGTATCAATTTTTCAAGAAAAGAAATTTGGTCAGTTGTTGGAGTCGCCCAGAAGTCATCCTCGTGTTGTAATACAACTTGACCTAGAGCATTCAAATCATGCCACAACAATGTTGGAGCTAGTAGAAAAGTCGCGGTAGTCTCGCTCGATTGAAATGACGGTACGCGCCACACCAAAGGTTATCTCTGGCTCTGGCAGATTAGGCTGTCAGTTGGCGTCAACATGGATGAAGAGTCTTGTCAGGAACGCATGGCCGATCTCGCCGGCCGTCCGCCTCACAGCGTCTTGTCTGAAGTTGAGGCGCAGGTGGGCACTGGGGATCATGTCCTCATGGTGGTGGGTGGGCTGGCTTCAGTCATTGGTCGCGAGGTCGGCACCACTCATCGCGTGTGCTAAGTGAGACAAATCGTAGTGTATCATTCTAGAGTACCGCGATACGGACTGTGCTCGAGCAAGGGCAGTGACCGAATTTCTGGGAGCAAACCCCGTCAGCAAATGCCAATGCTGAAAAGCAAAGTCGTGCCTTACGATAAGGTCGAGACATGGTCTGTCCTGATGAATAGCTGAGATTTGGGGGTTTGGGGGTGGAGGACGCCACGGGCAATGTCGTGAAGAGGATTGCCCCATTGGGGCAATTTCACTGAAGAAGAAAGGGAGCGAGGGATTTGGGGGGATCCCAGGCCGACACCCCCGAATCCCACCATCGTGAGGTCTTGTCCCGCCTGCATCGATGGAGGGTGTCCGGGTGGGTCGAGTGATTGCCGGACTGCTGGGCCGTGAAGCTGCAGGGGGGAGGGGGGAGGTGACAAGCGTGGATTCTGGAAGAAGAGAGTGAGTGAGTGAGAGCATTTGCAAACTTGTGATGGAATTGGCTGACTAAACAGCCACAGTGAGCTCTGAGTGGACCAAAGGCATTTCTTTGATTCAGCCCAATTACTGTCCACCACTGACCGGTCCCGCTTGGGCTGCGCCTATCGCCTATCTTATCTATAGTTCTATCAAGCGTACCTTATCTAGGAGACTGGTCGTCCTTTCGGGTCAATGTTTCTTTTCGTTCATGATTGATTCAATGATGACAGCCAAGGACCGAGGATGATGGTTGGAACTTGGGGGAGACACGGAGGCAGCCAAGCGTGACTGTTGAAGCTGTCTCGATAGTTTCGATGGCTTGGCTTGGCAAGTTGTATTCTGGCTGTTGTATATTCGGCAGGAGTGGCAGTGTCGCAGCCGGTGAGGTATTTGTCGTGCCGGGACAGATATCGGCCGAGTGGAGGGTTGACCTGATTTCTGTTCATTGAGCCTGAACTTAGACCATCGAGTTGGTAGGCAGGAGTGCCGTGGGTGCACAGGGTGAAAGATCAGGCCAGTTCTGATATGGTAAATCGGCATCAGAAATTTGGTGATGCGAATGAGAGGAGACGAATATCATGGACAAGCTCGTGCCTCAAAGTCTCACATAAACACGTGTACTGAGTACTGACACGCACGTACGGTGCCTCCAGATAGACGGCGAGAAGGAGCCAAAGCAAATGCTTAATCACCCCAGACCCTATTACCTTTGAACCCACTGCCGTGGGCTGTAGTCTGAGAAGAATTGAAGCTTGCCTATCCGTACACCTGCATCATCGTCGTCGCCTCTGGCTACCTAGGGAAGGTAGACGGGTGTGCCTGCTTCAGCTCATCGATTCAGAGTGTGGTGTATAGAGACAGTACGTACTTTATCAGGACTAATGCGAATGACAACGATAGTGACATGGTGGCCGGCCGAGGAAGGCGTGGGGCGCGATAGGTGCAAGGACATTCCGCGGTACGTACCGATGCAAGTTCTACTTGTGGCAGGGGAGGGGCGTCTCTAGGCCAGGATTTCCCCCGAACGGCCGGGTCTGGCTGGCTTGCACTTGCCATGCTTTGCCCTCTTTGCCTTCTTTGCCTTGGGGCCCACGGGCATTGAGTTCGGGATAGAACGCTCAGTCAGGTTCAGTCTTTTCCCGCCTTCTTCCTTCTCTGTCTCTATCCGTAGTCCCTAGCGGAGGGAAAGCACCCACTTGATTCTCTCTCACTACGATGTATCCGTAGGTGCGTCCGCCGCACCATGCTTGTCCACTCACATGTCCATCATTTGCCCAACATGGCCCGTGTCGTGTCTCTTATCTGCCCGCACCAAAACTCACTTACACTTTCTTGTCTGTCAAGTCACCCATTGATTAACCCGTTGCCCAATGTCAAATGTCTACCGAGCAATGCCCTCCCCCATCCGCTCCCACAACGCCTCCTCCGTATGCGGATTGCCTACACTAGCTCCGCTGGCCCAGGCAATTACACCCCCAGACACGGCCAGGGATCACCGCAGTATTCCATGCTCCCTCTGCCGCAACCGCGTCCTTCTTGAAGCCACCCCTTCTCTTCTATCCTGTCTGGTGTTTTTATATATGATCCTACCTGTCCCTCTCATCCCGTTTTTGTCCGCCTGTTCGTTCTTCTTCACCCAGGCAATTCGTCTCATCTTGAACCCGACCTACCCTGGCCGTCGACAAACTCGTCCCAGCTCTGTCCATATTCGAGACAGCTTGCTCTTGAGAAAAAAAAATAATACTCTCTCATCCCCCCTCTCCTGACTCTTCTACGCCATCCAATCCTCTGGTGAACACCTCGCCCCAACCTCGATACCGCACACCAACCGCCCATCATGTCTTACACGCATACTGGAGCTCCCACGGAGTTCAATGGCACCAATGCCGATTATGGTGGTGATTCCAGTACGTCGAGTCAACCACCCGCAATAATTGGGGCTCGCCTCGACCGACTTTGATGCTAATCATTGAATAGCCACCACGAACCTGAACCAGTGGTACCAATCCGGTGACCAGTCTTACATTCTCGTCTCAGCCGCCATGGTCCTGCTCATGATTCCTGGCATCGCCTTCCTCTACTCCGGTCTCGCCCGCAGAAAATCGGCCCTCTCCCAATTGTGGGTGGTTATGATGAGCTTTTCAGTCATCGTCTTCCAGTGGTACTTCTGGGGTTACTCTCTGGCCTTCAGCGAAACTGCCACCAACGGCTTCATTGGTGATCTTCGACACTTTGGCCTCATGAAGGTTCTCGCTACTCCCTCCCAGGGCTCGCCTCTCGTTCCCGCCCTTCTCTACTCCTTCTACCAGATGATGTTCTGTGCCGTTACTGCCGCCCTCACTGCTGGTGCCACCGCCGAGCGTGGCCGAGTCATTCCCTGCATGGTCTTCATCTTCTTCTGGGCCACCCTCGTCTACGCTCCCGTCGCCTGCTGGGCTTGGAACGCCAACGGCTGGGCCTTCAAGTACGGTGTTCTCGACTACGCCGGAGGCGGCCCCGTCGAGATTGGTTCCGGCATGTCGGCTCTCGCCTACTCCTGGGTTCTCGGCCGTCGCAACGAGAGAATGATGCTCAACTTCCGTCCCCACAACATCTCCCTCATCACTCTCGGCACTATTCTTCTCTGGTTCGGCTGGTTGGGCTTCAACGGTGGTTCCGCTTTCGGTGCCAACCTCCGTGCCGCCATGGCTTGCT